AACGCTGCTTGCAAAGTTAAAAAAAAAAATTTTTTTTAAGCGCTGTCTAACTTTGTAATGAATATTAGGAGATGCACTCCACAAACATTCAAAAGAATATAATTGAAAGATTCTCATTATTTGTTTTTATTAATTTTTTTCCAGATTAGCAGTATGTTGTTAGTGTGGCAAATAAACCATCCAAATCAAGATTAAGATTTAAAAAACAAACAAAAAAATCACATATAATCATATAATCAAATTATATCTTAAAACTCCTGGATAAAAAATAGGGAAAATACATTTCTGTTTGCCTGCAAAACTCCTATTATCCTTACTTTGTTGATTATTACCATGTTAGAAACTTTTCAAAATTCATTCCAAGCGATCTTGAACACACTCAGAAAATATTTTAATTTCCCCCCCCCACATCTGTAATTCATCAGATTTGCAATACATTTTGAAATTGATTTGCTTTCCTTAAATAAAATTAATTTTGTCCAATGGGTACGGTGGTAATTCAACTACCAATGTCAGCAATCATACGAACAAATGGCATTCTTTTAGAAAAGTTAGCATCTTTTAAATTTAGATACCCGAATACATCCGCAAGAAGAAATTTACAGAAAAAATAAGTTTTCAAAGGCGCTCTTTTAAAGAGCCGCTGCTTCAGATTTTTTTCAGCTACAAATAATGAATGTAAGGGAATTTCAGCTAATGGGGCTCTAAGTTTAAATAGCCTAAATCCAAGTCTGAGAAAAGAACTGTCCGGGGGCGGAAAAAAAACTGTGGTAACGAACAATCCTAAGGCTACTCTTTCTAAAGTCACGAGACTTCTTCCCTCTGAAATAAATCTCTTCCCCCATTTATTCCAACGAGAGAGGCGAAATGCAGCAGATTTCACCCTTCAAGAATAAGAATTGTAGGCGCCGCACCGCTCCCCAAAGTCACGGAGGATGCGGAAAGGTTGGTCCTAACTACCCGTAATTTTGGTTTTCCCAGGCCAACCCTCAACCGAAACATCCCGGCCGGGGTCATTCGGCGCCCGGCACAGCGAGCGACTTCGGAAAGCCGGGGTGGCGCAAAACGCGCCGAGTCCCGCTCGCCCAGGCGGGCTCCGCTCACCCAGCATCTTGCTCAGCTCGGCGTTGTGCAGGTCCGGGTTCTGGACGGCCAGGCGCTTCCTCTCGTCTTTGGCCCACACCATGAAAGCGTTCATGGGGCGTCGGATGCGGCTTTCGGGGTTGCCCTTCTCCGTCCGGGGCGCCGCGGAGGCTGAGCTCCCGCTGCCCCCGTCGGACAACTCCAGAGCCGAGCAGTCCAGCCTCTCCGACCAGGCGAAGGAGCCCAGCAGCGAAGCCATGCCGTCGAGGCACGCGGGACTCCAGCCGGCGGGCTCTCCCCCTCCCGCCCCCTCTACGCGCGACCGCGCAACCGCCCACCCTGAGGCCCCCGCTGCCTCACCCCGCCGCCCCAGCAAGCGCTTTTCCCGCGGCCTCGCTCTATTTATGAGCTTCTATAAGCTTCCTCCGGTGCCGTCTGGGAAGTGGCCGGCCCCGCCTTGAGCGCGCCCTCCGTCCCTCCCTCGCTTCTTGCCGGAGGGTGAGGCGCGAGGTCGCGGGGAAGGCGAAAGAGAGGCGCGGGGGGAGTAAGCGGGCGACCCGCCGCCTTCCCTTCGCGCCGAGTATAGGTTTAAACAAAAAAACAAACAAACAAAACAAAANCCCTTGTTCAGTTATCAAAACTGGAGAAGCAACTTGATTGTTAAGCAACTACTTTCACTAAACGAAGCCCAACTGTGTTTATGATCTTATCGAAGCTTCACTTTGCATCCTTCACTGGGAATATCCTGCAGAAGCAAGGCATTTTGGATTATTTATTTTATTTTATTTCTATAGCTTCACATCTCAGCAAAAATGATTTTGGGCGGCTCACAATTCAAAAACATTATTTGGATTTAATGGAGAACTGAATGCGATGGCTGAAATTGTCCCTGAAATTGATTTTAATTTGTCTTAGAAATACTTTGGATAACGATGGCCAGCTTTAGTAAGAACCTTTTTTTTTAAACGGAGAAAAAACTTGTACAATAATTTTGACACTGAAGAATTTAGCATGTTTAAAAGGGAATTCTAAGTATGTTTAAATATAAAAGGAAACAAATATGTTAGTGCCTTTGGCAAAGAGTGTATATCAAATATAAATTCATAAGGCTACTACATCTCCCAGAAATCAACTACTTTGGAAACTATCACATAGAAAAACAGCGTTAAGGGACAGTGTTTCCCCACATGCATTTAAAGATGTCATATCATCAAGAAAGGTTACTTAAAATAACTGCATTTTTAGAAATACCGTACAGGCTGTTACACTTCTCTGAAGCCAAAAATAAATCTCGTGATCGATAATACCTTCCATGGTGTATATCTCTCACCACTTATAAAATATCCATTAGGGGATGAGAAGGGAATCAGTTTTCCCTAAATTATAGGTTCTTTGTAAGTTTATAAGAAGCCAAGAGAACACCACCCTCCAGAAAAAAAACACTCTACATAGACTTTTAAATTCAAAAGCAGCTTCTGGGAGGGGATGAAGTAGATGTAACAGGGGTATTAAGAAAGGTGTTTTTAATAATTATCCTAATCTAGATTACCCATCTCTTTGACATTCTTTGTTGACAGTTTAGATCATAGTCCAAAGCACAATAGCAAATGTGTTAAGACTATTAGCTCTTATATGTAACCAGCTTGGGCGATGATGGCTGTCAACTTATCTGGAAATCAGCTTGTTATGGGAAATGCCTGACTCCTATTTTCCCCCCACTCTAAATTCCCCTGATCCATTTAGATTAGAATTAAAGGTATATAAAATAAGTGAACCATCGCCACCCTGAAATGTTTAGTTCTGATCTTGAAATGATTTGTACACTTCTCGCTAAAATTAAAATGTTATTGAGGTTAACTTCACTTATTTGGACACTTGAAATGCATTCACAAATGCTCTTATTTGCACCTGATGCTTCTTTCTTGGTTGTTCCCAAGCATACGACACCTCTTCCATAGGCAAGGAAAAAAGACAAGATCCTGAAAGATGCAAAGGGCAACAGCCAAACTGTATTGCTTTAAAAAAAACAGAAAGCTAACATACATTGTGACTGATAGACCCTTCCTAAAAATTGCAATACCATACAGGCACTACAATGAGAATTAGCAAAGTGTTGTTCAAACCACATGCAATTCTTCTGACCTACATTTAGTGATGAGATTATATAGCCTCATTGACCACTGATTATGACAAAATCACACCTTATGATGAATATGATGAAGCCCCACCTTGTTTTGACCCATTTTGCCCTATTGCTATAACCAATTCTGAGTTTGTCAACATATGCCAAACTGAAAGAGATGATAGGTGGTTTGAAACATGAGACCCTTGTAGAATTTGAAAAATGTAAGAGTTGATAGGAGAGGGACACTTTTAAAGAGCTACACATTCATTTGATTACCCTAATTAGGGCATATCTTACTGATATTTTAAGATAAAAATTTCTTTGGCAGAGACAACAGGAAGATGAGATGATAAGTGGCCCAATCCAGAAGGAAAATGATGCTTCTGTGATCACACCTTTGACATTGTTTCATATTCTGTTTCAGTTTCGGTAGTGAAAAATCTCTTATGTGAGCCCATGGAAACAAATGGCAATTGAGCAAAGAGCAAAAACACTTGAGAAGACATTCTGCATAACAAATTGAATGCGTACACACAGACAGAGCTAAACATCTGAGTCTGCTTAGCAGTGATTTCTTGAGGAAATGCATTCAAGGGCATCTTTGGTTGAAAGACTCCGTAAGTGGTCATGTATATTTCCTGATGTCATTCCTCTGTAGTTAGACCAAATTTGTAAGGATTATTATGCTATATCAGCTCTGTCAGGGCCCCTCAGTTTGATGAAAAAACAAGGATTCTTTAATTTAAGTCAACGTACTAAGGTGCCTGGATGCATCACTGAAGATGTATCCTTTTAACTGGGATACAAAGACACTTCTGAAGACAGATGCTCAATAGTTAGACTGGGTATAAAGAATGTCAGCAAACTGGAATAATTATCTAGAAAGTGACCCCCAAAATTATTTCAGTTCAAGGTGGGAAACCCAGAGAAAAGGAAACTCTCTGCTAGCAAACTGGTCCACAGGAGAAGTCTCATCTCTCTGACCTAAGAAATGCTGTAATTATTGTAATATGTAGCTGTTGCATCTGCAAGGACAGAAATTAGGCTGGTTTCTGAGGAGTGTGAGCTGCTTGCTGTCTGAGAGACCTGGACATGTCCGTTGACGGTGAGCCCACTAGGCTCTGGATGTCCAGGGGCACTGAGATACTGATCAAACTCATTGCGGTCCATCTCCTCTAGAAGGTCGTCTTGACTCAACTGATCCAGGCTATCAAAGTTCTGATGCTCCGGGGGAGGTGAGAGCTGCCCAAGATGGTTGTGGAGGCTGGGGACTTGGAGATTAGGAGGGAAAGCTGGAGAGTAATAATTTCCTGTGGGAGGTGCTGGGCAACTGGAGGAAGCAGAGTGCATCGTGGAAGCTGATTGAGAGACTGGCATGTGACCCAAAGAGTGGTTGCACTGGAGAGGGCTGGTGGCATATTCTAGAGAATAGGTGTCTCCAGACATACGGGGATGGCGAGGGTCTTCAGGACAAGGGGAGGAGAAGAAACTCTGCTCAGGATCTATCACATCCAAGGGTGACATCTCAGGAGGAGTAGGCAGCCCATATGGATACATGTCCATCGGAGTACCTGTGTTATTGCTCTGGACCTCCTGGTATCTCCTGAGGTTTGGCATTACTGAGGCAGTTGAATATTCATCCTTCTCACCCATTGCTCGGCTGCACATCCTCTTCTCAGACATGTGGTCTTGGTCCCTGGAGAGGCTAGTCAGCAGGAAGCCTGGCTCCACCCGCTTGCAGATCCGCTTGACCTGCTTCTTTCTTCTGGGCCGATATTTATAGTTGGGGTAGTCTTGCATGTGTTGAACCCTCAGCCTTTCTGCCTCTTCAACGTAAGGTCTTTTCTGGGATGCGGTTAAAGATTTCCATGACTTGCCTGTAAGGAAAAAGAGAAGTTTCCCTTTTTACATTGGGAAGGATGAATTAAGACCCTCCCCATCCATTGGAGAAATAAATTGACATTTATTTGCTGCTCTCCACTATACCTCTTCATATTATTTCATTTCAGACATAGGAACATGCATTCAATCACAAAAACACCTTTTGTTGTTCTGCAAAACACCATAGATATAGCAAATGCTAATATTTTGACTTTTGGGAAATGGCGGAAGAATTGTTCCCTGTGCAAAATTCACCCAGGCTCCTTTGGAGTTGGGTAGCTAATAGATTTAAGTAAACAAAAATATAGGAAATGGAGCTTACATAAAAAGAACTCTCCACTGCATCATACCAAATTGAGCCTTGCTCTTTTTTCCTCATGTGTTTCCATACAGGCTCACTTTCTTCACCTCTTGAGGCAGCAAAAGTGATGCACATCACTTTGCATTTGCCATTTATCTTGCAAAACACATGGAAAGTGTTGGATTAAGTGAGACACTGTTCCAATGTTTCTTGGTGAGCCAGTGATTTTCCCCCTAAACAGAATTAGGTGGTAAAAGTAATGGTCTTCTTTGATCCAAGACTCCAGGTTAATTTCACGTAAGATTGCCCAAAGAATAAAATCAATACCAGAGATCCTTTGGTCCTCACCAAAATAAATGAGCAGTTTACAGCCTTCTGAACAGCAGATCTTAAATTAGAAATGTTCAAGACAATGCATTTAGCCAGAGACATAATTACCATGTCTGGCGCTAGCTTGTCCTTTAAATGCTAGACTTTAAAATATTACAAACCTTACTTGTTGGATTCATTCATTTTTAGTTATTCTGTTCAGTTTTTACTNAATTTCAAGTTAAACAGAAACATAGTCAGGGTTCTGGATTGGTCTGCAAATCTGGCCTTTTTTATTGTGCTGTGTCTGGACTGTTTTCACATTTTTCAAGCTCAGTATTGGAATAGTCACAATACTATCTAACACTGATCTAGAAAATTCTTAAACCTAAGAACCAACCAAATATGGGATATTGGTAATGAATTCTTCCATCGTTAGTTTTGACATACAAGTGGCTATAGCACTGTTACACATCAGTAACATTTTATTAATGTTTTACCAAAGATTGATTCTTTGCTGTTTTCAATCACTTATGCTAGCGTTAACCCCAAGAACGATCAAAAACCTGTCTTTTGTGTTGAATGCATGTATTTTGTAATTGCTGTCTCCCCAGATTAATTTCCAGCTCTCTTCATCACTTATCACTGGACAGGATCCATGTTCTCATTTTGTTTTTTAAATGTGGTACTGAAAACATTTTCATTTTTCAGGAGGGTTGTTTTTATTCCTTTTCTAACTTTAATCAGCTTTATAATTTTTATTTCAAGTTAATAAATACTTTTACAGTATCTATTTACTGGCTACGGGATCTCAAAAAAGCTATGCGAGGTGAGAACTTGTTATTACTTAGATAAGAGGCCATCAGCAGATCCTAAAGCTGTGTTCAAGTTCTTTCAGACTCTAAGGTTCTATGGAACAGTTTGAAAAGCCCCATTCTTGTTCATCCTATTTTATTAAAATACCATACAAATCCAAACTGTATTAAGTTTTCTCATTTTACTTACCCTTGGATTACATGAGACGTCACATGGATAGAACTGATACCAAGGATATCAGCTGTAGCCCATTCGTTGGGAATTGCCAAATGTGGGGTTGGGAGTGCCATGTTTTCTGTTTTATTTGGCCATGTCATGTGTCTTTCTATTGTGCAAAAAGGAAACTCATACTCATTGCTCAAGATCGTCCACAAAATGGTAGCATGCTTGCTCCTTGGAATTTAAAAAAAAGAAACTTAGCATGGTTACCCATCATGAAGGCTGTAATAATACTGCAGAGAAAGACTTTTCAATTTATTCTCCTGACCAGCTGGGAGGTTATGGAAGGAAGGAGACCAAACCTGTCCAATATCTTTAAGGAACTTGCAGAGGGAGAATTTTAAAGGGAAAATATTGGAAGAATTTCATCTCACCAAAGCCCTGTGTCCCCATTTCCATTCTTATGTTTCCTTTCTTTTGCCTGAAAACCATACTGGTAAAATCAGTGGTAGTTTTGTACCATCTACAGGACTGGGAAGTCAAAAAAGTCAAGATATATGGTTCCACCTCTTTAATATGGTCATTGCATGTATATGATAGAAAGAGATGCAACTTCATTCACACAGCCATGGCCTTCTTGACTTTCTTAATTTTCTCCCTGCAGATGCCTCATTTTAGTAGCACAATCTCAGCATGCTTCAAAGGCTGCACATGGTATATTAAGGGGGATATCTGGGGATATCCTCAAACTCCATTATTTCAAAAAGAGAGGGCAGTTTTGTTCAAGATTAGAGTTCTAGAATTCTGGAAAGATGTTGTGGAGGGGACAGCGAATAGCCTTGAAAGACAGCGGGAAGATCTGTTGTCGAAGCAATGATCAGACAAGCAAGGCTTGATCCCATTGCAAGAAAGAAACTTAAGGGAACCCGAGACTATTCCTAATCCACCTGAAGATAAAGTGAGAGGAGGGAAACACATTTAGATTTGCAAGATTCTGTTACTATAGCTTTTCTAATAAATAGCTTTAGATGTATATGGAACTGGTTTCTTAGTCTGGGCTCACAGAGGCAACTTTTTTTCCTCTAGTATTTGGGTAACAATTTGGGCACCATGAATTCTCTGAAGCATGAATTCTTTAAATGTAGAGCTGCCTCTAGTCTTAAAATTGAAATGCTGGATTAAGGCGAAAGCACCCGATATCTAGGGAGCTCATTAAATATATTATGTGGAAAATACACAGAACTTTCCAGTATATCTGCCAATATGGAAGGAGGTCAACCTTTTCATGATGAATCACAAGAATTCACTTAAATGAATTGAGAGTTGAGGAACAATTCAGTCAGGTCTATTTAGGACTACTTAAAGAACATGATCAAATAAATCTCTAATTTCCAGCAGCTGTTTTCCAACACTGATTATACTTTATGAACAAAATCTTGCCCTATTCTATGCATCATGCTTTCAGGTACAATGAAATTCTAAGTATTGTATATCTTGTGCCTGGCACCAGATTCATTGGAGTTGTTCTTTGTAAAGTTTACATTAATTGCAGATTCAATGAACTAGATATGTTATCAATGAAATTAACTTTAATAAAAGATATTGAAATCTG